ATATGGTCACAGATTTCTTGCCAAGATAGTAATGTAATCAAAGATACTCCGAATTAGCTCAAAAGTACTAAAGATTTGAAAAGTTTAAAACAACTTCTTGTAATAAATCATGTTTAACTATTGCTATCCTTATTTAAAACATGTAATGAGACAGTGCAAAGCTTGAGATAATTGTGAATGAAATGTATTTAAAAGGGGGTTTTACATCAAAGTAATCTTGGAATAAACTACTTTGTTGTATAACCATCATACTATTTGGTTTCCTAAAACCACCATTCAAAATTTTCTTAGAATAATTTTTAGAAAGTATTCACAGAAATGTTTATTTAGACATGCATTAACTTCATCTTTTCCTCCAAACAAAAGACATTGAAAATGAAATTAACATAATTGCTATCTTATAGCAAAATGGTGCACCACTGCATTATAATTGCCATGTCTACTATACCAGTCTGTGAATAATATATTCCCAGCTTGTTCAGTTGTTTCCTATCATCCTCCAGTAGTTGTGAATCAATACTGGTGGACTGTTTTATATCAGAATGTGGAAGAAAAAAAAAAAAAAAAAAAACTGTAACCAATCCTTTAACATAAACTGTTGGACTAATTGTGACAACAAGGCTGCCCTCTGGTGAGTAGCCAGAGAAGAACTCCAGTAAAAGCCAAGGCTCCCACTTGATAAGTTGGTACCAGACTGTTTGCTCTGTAATTTTTCTTAAAGTTAAATGTAATGTCTGTGTGTAACTTAAACCTGTAAATAAATACTTGTTACACTATACAGGACTCTTCTATGACCCTATCTAAAATGACCCCCTCACAAAGTCGTGCCCAACGTTATTGTTTAGCTTTAAGAATTTCCCCTGGCTTTTGCTCACTTTCTTTTCTAGAAACAGTACTTGCAGCCACACCCCCTGGATCTAATTTCTAAAACTTTAAGAAAAGAGATGCCTCGCCCGTGAGGTATGAATTTATTATTATTATTTTTTTTTTTTTTTGGTGTGTGTGCCACTCCGATGGCCTATCAGCAACAAATAGTTGCGTTAATGATATGAGTTGTTTTGCATTTAAAACTAATATTCAATGGTGTTAACCCTAATGTTGAAAAGTGAAAGACTTAAATATGAAATGAAAAATGTAAATTACTGTCTTCTGTATATATGTATCTCTTTATAATTATTGTAATAATTTTGAAATGAGTAAGAAATTCTTCAATTTGGTTACCCATGACTATCTAGAACTTGCATCATAATAATATTTCGGTCTGGCTCTGGAATCCTAGGTGGGAATCTGGTCGGGGGGGGGGTGGGGAATGATTTTATTAGACTAGGTAAGTTTATTTAATATCAAGAAGCAAATTCCACATCTTATTCTTGAAATAATACAATATTTACCAACACCTATGAATTGGATAGTAACCTTGCTAAAATATATTTTCAGCAGGGAGTATGATGGACATGAATATGGTCACAGATTTCTTGCCAAGATAGTAATGTAATCAGAGATACTCCGAATTAGCATTTCGAAATGGTAAATGTGGTAAAAACATAAAAAGATGTAATATATTAAAAGTGATGCATTTTAAGTGTAAAATTCTGTATTAGAAATTGTTATTATAATATGCTGAATGTATTCAATCTTATGAACGTAGTTTCGATTTGAGCTTAACTTGATGAACCAGTGGCTCAATGACATGGTTATTACCCTGTTGCTTCCGTAACGGTTTTATTTATTGATATTTCTTTTTTTGCATTTCTGGTTACATTGCTGAAAATTGTTTATATTTGATGATTTAAAGAAGCATAAGATTCTTTGACAAAATGTTATTTTTTTATACGGATTAATATACGTTTCAGATGTGGTTCTTTAGTTCATAAGTGTATTTGACCATGAATGTTTTTTTTTCTTTGAGACTAAAATAATTAACAAAAAAGTATTTATTGAGTTATTAAACTGTGCCATTTCTAAGCCCTGTAAAATGTTTCTTTTAAGAAGAGAGGTTGTTTATATATTATTTTGACAATGTGTTACTTGTGATACAATTATAGTATAGTGCTAATAGTAAATTACTACAAATCGTTTCTGGGAAGGTGGACCTCATTACAACCTTCTAGTTGTGCCATAATAAATTGTTTTTTCATCAAAGAATTATTTTGAGTGAAAACGCCCCATGTCGTTTTTTGCTAAAGGACGTAAAACAATATGTGTGTTCTAGCAAAAAGAACTTGGTTGAATGTTATGGACAAATGACAATAGAATATTAAGGTGCCATTTTAACGAGAAGGGATATAAAAAGGTCACTAAAGATCTATTTTTTAGCATTATTGCGGAATGAAAAGAAACAGAGGAACATGAATTTAATGAAAGAAAACAGTGTGAGGAACGCGAATATAATGAAAGGAAAGAGATAGAAGAACGCAAGCATGAGCTTGAGAAATTGAAAATACAAGTAGCTAGTTCAGGTGCTAGTTATGATTCCGTACCTGCTTTAAAACTCACTGAAACGGATATCCCTAAGTTATAATTACAAACTTTAATTCCTCACTTTATTCCAGAAAGTGATGACATGAGCCTTTTTCTCACTTTCAAATAAAGTGGCTTTCACTTTCAAATAAAAGGCAACTAACAATTTTGAACATACCTCAAGGGAAATGGGTAGTGTATCTCTTAGGGTGTTACCTTAATGACGTTGCAAAAATGATTGCAAAGAATCTGCTGGTGAGTACAAGATTATGCAACATTAAAAATCTCTTAAAATGTTTTAAATTGAGTGCTGAAAGGTTTCGACAGTTATTTTCACAACATATCAGGCAAAGTCCTGATAGAAACATGGCGAGGATTACTTCGATTTGAGAAATTTTTGATGGCGGATTGGTGAAGTAAAAGCAATACTTTTGAGAAGTAAAGCTTTGATGATATCAGACCAAATTAAAAGACAGTCCCCTTGAGTATAGAGAACTTTTTGTGGATCATTGGTCCTAAAAACATCAGGAGTAGAAACGTCAGTAATAACACTCCAAAGCCGTCTCAATGTAGTGGTTCTAAAAATTATAAAAATAACCCTCAACTTGTTAAAAACTCAGCAACAAGGAATTCTGACATGAGAGAAGATCGACCAACTGTTGGTTGTTATGGTTGTGGAAAATCAGACGTCATTAAGGCTAAGTGTCCAGTGAAGGGGTCGTTTTAGATAGGGTCATAGAACAGTCCGTCATAATGTAACAAGTATTTATTAACAGGTTTAAGTTACACACGGATGTTACATTTAGCTTTAAGAAAATTACAGAACAAGAGTCTGATACAACCTATCAAGTTAGACGCTTGGCTTTCACTGAAGCAGTTCTCTGGCTACTCACCACCAGAAGGCAGCCTTGTTGTCACAGTTAGTCCAACAGTTTATGTTAAAGGATTGGTTACAAAACATATTTTGAACAAAATTCATGACCTAAGCTACCCAGAGAGAATTATCGCATCCATTGCTAGAATCACACTTGATATGATCCAGGATTTTGGATGGAAATATAAAATTGCTTTGATGCGTTCAGTAGCCTATGAAGCATATATCAAAATTTATTCATTATATGACAAAAAATTAAAAATTTTTTTGATTATTTAAAATAAAGGTCATGAAGCTGCCCTAAATACATTTTCTAACAAAACTATTTAAAATCAGGTCTATCTTTTTAGTGACCCTCTATGTACACTGCTCAAAAAAAAATTTAAAAAAAAGGGGGGCACAGTGCTATTTCTCCCGTTCTACTGGGCCGATTGACGAAATTCAAACTGCGTTTTTCATGTCTCGAAAGCGCGAATTATTATATTAGATTTATATATATACTATTCTAAACATGGGTATTTTGACACAAAATCGGACTTTTCTGAATAACATACCACCAATTTTTTCCATATTCGATTCCCGTCTCAAATTATGCCAGAATGCCAAGTTTTGTAAAATCGTACAAGTAGGTTTTAAAATATTAGCTCTCAAAATTTAGCTCCTCAATGTAATTGAATTGCAAATATTTATTAAATATCTCTTTTTTATTAACTTTTTTGATTTTTCCTTTCACATTTCAAAAATTTAGGTTCATTCCAAATAAAAATTTACCCATTTTTTTGTTTTATTTTTAAATTTCTATTTTAAAATAATTTTTATAAATTTTTCGAAAAAAAATTTGAATTTTAACCTATAAAATTTTACCATCATCTTAAAGTAGGTGTATTTCTAAGCATACCTGCAAAAAATTAGACTTTTTTATTCAAAATTTTCTAAAATATACACGAATTTACATATTTTTGCATTTTGAAATTTGCCATCTTTTTGTTGAGCGATAATAACGCCAAATGTGGTTTATGGATTTTTTTTATAGTGAATTGCCACAGCTATTTTTAACCTTAAATTTCAAATAAATTTTACGGAGAATTGATTATATAAAACTTTTTCCTCAATGACTAATAAATATTTTTTATTAAACTATATGAAAAGCTATTTTTTTAAATTATAGATGGATAATGTTCAGATTTTTAACTATTTTTTTAAATTTCTCTCTTTTTTTAAAAAAAAAAAAATATTTGTAAGAGTAAATTTTTATCTTTGGCATTTTATCGTCTTTACTTCGTTTAAATCGAATTTTCTAAAACTGAGAACTTTCCTGATGTTTATTAGAATTTTATGACATTAACTGCATAATTTATTTCTAAACAAGCTGTTGCTTATGAAGTGGCTGAAAGAGCGGCTGATACTATCATCCATATTTTTAAAGCACAGTATATTTTATAGAAACATAAGATTTAAAATAATCATTTTTATAAAAGCCAAATTATGATATAAACATACAACCCTCTAGAGACCAAATTAGTGGAAGTTCAATGGTTATGTAGAAATGATCTGCAGCTGTTTAGTGGCTGGATAAGTCAGCAGATTCTGTGGACAAATAAGAATAATTATATAAACGACACTCAACATTCTGGATTCAATTAACAACGAGAGTACGATGTTTATTAAATGAATTTAAGAAGTTTTTAAACATAAAAAATCAACTCATTTTTTATCCTAAAATGTATTTTTGTGCGTAGCATTATTTCATTTATCCTTAAAATTCTAATTTAGAATGTAATTGTCAAGTACTGAATTCTAATCATCAGTAATATAATAAGTAATTATTATGGTTATTAATAAATCCTTCTTATAAAGTAATTGCAAATATTTCAAAAAACTTTCTGTCTGAATGCAAATATTTCTAATTTTATATTAATCAAAATTGCACACTATATTATTTATTTACACTTCAGTTGTTACCGTCAGCTCTAGTAGAAGTTACAAATCAATTAGAAACAGCATACTGTAACAGCAATTCAATTAATGGTGCCGTTTCTTTCATGTTACTACCGATTAGCAAGCTACATGATTTTTAATGGGTATTCAGGTTTTGCTAGTAACTTCACTTGGAAATCACACTTAACCCTTTGAGACGCACTATACGTTATACGTTAACGTCGCAGTTTCAACAAAAAAAAGTTGTATGCAGTCTATTTAGTCCTAAAGTAGTATACAGGTAAAATTTTGTAAAAATTGTTTTAATTCTGTGGGTGTTCCATGAGGGGGAACACTGCGCGGTGTTCCATGAGGGGGAACACTGCGCCGCCAGAGCTTTTAAAAGTGTGATTAAGTGAGCATTGCAGTGAAGCACGAAAATGAATAGAAGCGTTTGTGTAAGAGTGAAAAAACTCTGTACTTTGGCTGTATGCATGGTTTCCTGGATATACACAGAAAAATATCTACACAATTATTGAAAATAAATGGGAATGAGACTAAAAAGCGACAGCAAAAAAAAATTTGCGCAAGTCTAAGTGAAGATGAGTCAAGCTACTAATAGAATTCCCGTCTAAAAACGACTCCAAAAAAATTCGAGATGCCAATATTAGGGCTTTCATAACACAAAACACACTCTCTCAATACTGCT